TACCTTGTTAACTGTTATTATACTGTACTGTGTTAACTGTTATTATACTGTACCTTGTTAACTGTTGTTATACTGTACCTTGTTAACTGTTGTTTTACTGTACCTTGTTAACTGTTATTATACTGCACCTTGTTAACTGTTGTTATACTGTACCTTGTTAACTGTTATTATACTGTACCTTGTTAACTGTTATTATACCGTACCTTGTTAACTGTTATTATACTGTACCTTGTTAACTGTTGTTATACTGTACCTTGTTAACTGTTGTTTTACTGTACCTTGTTAACTGTTATTATACTGTACCTTGTTAACTGTTATTATACTGTACCTTGTTAAACTGTTTGTTATACTGTACCTTGTTAACTGTTATTATACTGTATCTTGTTAACTGTTATTATACTGTACCTTGTTAACTGTTATTATACTGTACCTTGTTAACTGTTCTTATACTGTACCTTGTTAACTGTTATTATACTGTACTTTGTTAACTGTTATTATACTGTACCTTGTTAACTGTTGTTATACTGTACCTTGTTAACTGTTATTATACTGTACCTTGTTAACTGTTATTATACTGTACCTTGTAAACTGTTATTATACTGTACCTTGTTAACCGTTGTTATACTGTACCTTGTTAACTGTTATTATACTGTACCTTGTTAACTGTTCTTATACTGTACCTTGTTAACTGTTATTATATTGTACCTTGTTAACTGTTATTATACTGTACCTTGTTAACTGTTATTATACTGTACCTTGTTAACTGTTATTATACTGTACCTTGTTAACTGTTGTTATACTGTACCTTGTTAACTATTATTATACTATACCTTGTTAACTGTTATTATACTGTACCTTGTTAACTGTTATTATACTGTACCTTGTTAACTGTTATTATACTGTACCTTGTTAACTGTTGTTATACTGTACCTTGTTAACTGTTATTATACTGTACCTTGTTAACTGTTATTATACTGTACTGTTTAACTGTTTTTATACTGTTACCTTGTTAACTGTTGTTATACTGTACCTTGTTAACTGTTGTTATACTGTACCTTGTTAACTGTTATTATACTGTACTTTGTTAACTGTTGTTATACTGTACCTTGTTAACTGTTATTATACTGTAACCTTGTTAAACTGTATATTATACTGTACTTTGTTAACTGTTGTTATACTGTGCCTTGTTAACTGTTATTATACTGTGCCTTGTTAACTGTTATTATACTGTACCTTGTGTACCTTGTTAACTGTTGTTATATTGTACCTTGTTAACTGTTATTATACTGTGCCTTGTTAACTGTTATTATACTGTGCCTTGTTAACTGTTATTATGCTGTACCTTGTTAACTGTTATTATACTGTACCTTGTTAACTGTTATTATACTGTACCTTGTTAACTGTTATTATACTGTACCTTGTTAACTGTTATTATACTGTACCTTGTTAACTGTTATTATACTGTACTGTGTTAACTGTTATTATACTGTACCTTGTTAACTGTTGTTATACTGTACCTTGTTAACTGTTGTTTTACTGTACCTTGTTAACTGTTATTATACTGCACCTTGTTAACTGTTGTTATACTGTACCTTGTTAACTGTTATTATACTGTACCTTGTTAACTGTTGTTATACTGTACCGTACTGTACTGTACCTTGTTAACTGTTGTTATATTGTACCTTGTTAACTGTTATTATACTGTGCCTTGTTAACTGTTATTATACTGTGCCTTTTTAACTGTTTATTATGCTGTACCTTGTTAACTGTTATTATACTGTACCTTGTTAACTGTTATTATACTGTACCTTGTTAACTGTTATTATACTGTACCTTGTTAACTGTTATTATACTGTACCTTGTTAACTGTTATTATACTGTACTGTGTTAACTGTTATTATACTGTACCTTGTTAACTGTTGTTATACTGTACCTTGTTAACTGTGTTTTACTGTACCTTGTTTACTGTTATTATACGCACCTGTTAACTGTTGTTATACAGTACCTTGTTAACTGTATTTATACTGTACCTTGTTAACTGTTGTTATACTGTACCTTGTTAACTGTTGTTATACTGTACCTTGTTAACTGTATATACTGTACCTTGTTAACTGTTGTTATACTGTACCTTGTTAACTGTTGTTATACTGTACCTTGTTAACTGTTGTTATACTGTACCTTGTTAACTGTTGTTATACTGTACCTGTTAACTGTTGTTATATGTACCTTGTTAACTGTTGTTATACTGTACCTTGTTAACTGTTGTTATACTGTACCCTTGTTAACTGTTGTTATACTGTACCTTGTTTAACTGTGTTATACTGTACCTGTTAACTGTTGGTTTTACTGTACCTTGTTAACTGTTGTTTTACTGTACCTTGTTAACTGTTATAAATGCACATTGTTTAACTGTGTTATACGTACCTTTGGGTTAACTGTTATTTTACTGTACCTTGTTAACTGTTGTTTTACTGTATCTTGTTGACTGTTGTTTTACTGT